GTGCATCCTTGCACTAGTTTATCTTCTGCTTCACCATCCTCCTCTCCTCTATCAGCTCCCATGTATCCATTGAGATCAACTCCTTATCTTCTTTCTTCTTCCTTCCTAATACGGCAGTGCAGGTTTCTTTCCACATCTCTTTCAAAGACTTCAAGTGTTCTTCCACGCAGGTTTCTTTAGGGATGTTCGTCGATATCTCCCATTTTGTCTTGATAGCTGCCGTGAAGATCTCCTTTGTAATTTCATCCTTCAGTTTTCGAGTGTTGTACTTGAATTGAGGTTTATCACCAGCTTCCTTGAGGGTTTTCAACTTGATTTGGAAGGTTCTTTGCACTAGATAGTGGTCTGAACCTACATCTGCTCCTCTTCTTGATCTTGTGTTCAGTAGGCTGCGTCTCCACTTTCTTCACATTGAGATAAAGTCGATTTGATTTTTAGTGTATCCTGGTGTCTGGTGAAATCCATGTCGCTTCATGGACATCCTTGTGCTTGAACACACTGCCTCACTCCAATCACCATATCGTTGAGTGCACGGAATTCTGCAAACAGTTCTCCACTCACGTTCATCACCTCACCGAGCGCTTCTCCACCCATGGTTAGTTCTCTTCCTCTGTTGTCCCCTCCCAGTTTGGCATTCATGTCACCCCACCCATTAGAATTTTGATATCGCCAACTGGAGTGGTGTCTTGTCCAGTGTTGATTGAAGTTGTCTGTAGAATTCGTCCTTTTTCTCTTCAACTGCATTATTTGTAGGTGCATAGCGTAGCGTAGCATTGTATGATTGTGACCTTCCTTCCTTTTGAGTCGAACCTTGCTGTCATAATCCTGGAGGAGATTGGTTCTCATTGCATGAGGGCCTTCGATGCTGTTGGGAACATCATGATAGCCACTCCAGAACTCAGTGTGCTCATGGTTGTCATCTGGGTTACCGGAGTTGATTATTTACTCCTCTCCAGTTGATAGTTTGGAGAGTCCACTTCCATTTCATCTGCTTTCGTAAATTCCAAGCACTTCAATGTGATACCTCTTCATCTCCTTTGCAATCTGGGCTACCCTACCGCTGGGTTCAAACATCATGCGGACATTCCATGTCCCCACGTTTACTTTCGCTTTCATCGAAAGAGGATACACTAGCCAATTGGCTTCCCGAAGTCAGGCTTTCACCAACTGGCATCATTTCGCCTCTCCGATTCCAGCAAGGAATAATTTTGTTTTTATGTTTTATATTTTGTCTGTGCTTTGAAGTTTCTTTAGCGGTTGAATTGGTTTTCCGGGGTAGGGTTGCTAGCCCTATGCCCAACCTTTCCTGTTTACCCGGGCTTAGGACCGGCTAGTAACTAGTGAACTAGTTAACCAGGCGAGGTTATATATATATATATATATATATATATATATATATATATATATATATATATATATATATATATATATATATATATATATATATATATATATATATAAGGCAGTTGGTATTGATATAAATCACTTAACGTGTGGTATCTCGCACTTTATCAGTGGTTTTGCAATTTGAAGTAACCTAGACCAAAAGTGTATTTCAAGAACATTCATTCTCTGAAATAGAAAATTCTGTACTCTGTACTCCTCTGAATCACACTACAGAAACCTATTGGAGAATGGCCGAAATGAATGTAAAATACGATGACTAACAGTGTAAACATTTCTTGGTCTCAGAATAGCATTCAACTTTTCTGTCAAGAGTTTTTAGATGGCTAGTACTGGAGACAGTTCCTGAGAGGCACATCACTAAAAATCTTCCACTAAACATCCACTGCAATACGAAGTAATTACAGCTAATTGACAGAATATTATCAATATAAGTTTTGCGGTTATTTGTGCTCATCAGCGAGGCATATCTATCTCTAGGGGACTGATGTCATTTTAGAGAGAGGAACTCAAATCACCCAATACTTCACTAATTGACATCAGCAGAGAGCTTTTTGGACATAAAGAGACTTTCTATTGAACTGGACCCTATACATTAGTTGACCGTTATAAATCAACTAAAAACATTTACTGTAACGTTAACCGACTACTTTAGATTGAATTAGTCATGTTATTAAGAAGTTAGGAAAACTGCGGTTAAGTTTACCTTCATTACTTGTAATTGATTGGAGACGATCGGCAGGAAACCCAATCAACTCTCAGGATCAGTCATTACACTCAAGGTTACGTATAAGCACATGAAAAGCTACTGTAACATAAAACTGCATTTGGTGATATTTTTCAAGGTTACTCAATTTCTTCATTTCTCCTCAACTAAGAACACAATGGTTGCTACTAAAAAATACTTATTTGGTCGGATTTGAACAACAAGTAAAAGCAGTTCATTAAGATAAGACTTTGCATACTTCAAATTTCAGTGTTTCAATAAAAGACACTCTTATTCTATTCACTTATTTGCATGCTACTGTAAAGCGTATCAACTTGAACCGATTGACTACTGTGAGTAGTTCTTCGTTGATTGTCTTTCTGTTTGCATCTAGTGCTCATATCTAAGCTGTGCAAGTGCAGCACCTAGTTTTGAATTCAGCTTGGCTTGATAAGTAACTGAAGTACTTAAAGTAACCAGTTTACTTAAATCGACCGATTCAGGGCGAAGATTTTGATTGTCATCAAACCCTTAGGAAGAACTAGGCATACAGAAAAGAATAGTCATAGTTCAGACCATCGCTCCAGAAAAAGTAGTAATACCAGATACATTCATCACTACATTAAGTTGCTTAATTTTAGGCTTGAGTGACCCGAAGTTGTCGTATAGAACAACGGACTTGGTTGTGCGGGAGGTTGGTGTTGACCAAAAATAGTTTGTGCTCCTCATAATGTTGCAGAAAACAGTCCGAATTATCTGATCTGCAACCAATTAGTCTTCATTGACCACCCAATCGATTATGTTTTGAGCCTAAACACACAACCTATGCATTCAAGTCCCCAGCCAGCTCTAATATATCTATCAACATGCATTACACATCTTCTTCCTATCTCGGTTGAATGAGTGATACCTTCGAAATAACAAGTAGTCAAATACCTCTAAATTGCCAAATGTTGAACCCTCAAAGTTAGAGCTGAACAAAACGCACCTAATTTTAAGCTATACTGTTTCACTTTCATTCTGTACACTCTACTTATCTACAAAAATTTTGATTCGCGAAGTGATGACTAGAAACCATTAGGCGTTATTTAAAGGTTTAACCTTATAATCTTGAGTGTTTATTTGACTTAAAACTTCCATCTATTCATTTAAATTGATGAAGTTGAAAATAAACTCTTAACAAACTGATTTACACAGTTAGCTATTTATGTCTGGTAATATTCTACTGGATATATGTAAGCGTACATTTATAATACAGTTGCTATCTAACGTGAGCTACCCCTCTCCACAAGCACACCAAACTTACAAGTTTCATCGTCTTTCTAGACGACATCATCAACACTAACCGCAGTATGAAGTGGGTTGTTAATATCTCTCTATGAGTGATTTAGTAGCTGCCCTGATGAACTGCTTTGTGATTGGTTGTTTTCTTTGATTGTTGTATCGTTGACTGTAGAGATTTTCCCATTGGCTGTTCCTCTGCGTGACCTCTCACCTTTCTATTGTTTACTCACTATGTAGACGATAGTTTTGTCATCATTAAAAAAGATGATATAGAAAACACTCACAGTTTGATCAACAACGTTTTCAATGACATCAAATTCACAATAGAGAAGGAGTCAAACAACCAACTTCCATCCCTGGATGTTTTAGTCAGTAGGACAAATGCCAGAAAGCTGGAAACCCAAGTGTACAGGAAGCCAACACACACTGATCAAATCCTCAACTACAACAGCAACAAACCAACAATGCAGAAAATCAGTTGCGTGCAGACTCTATTCAAAAGAGCGAGAACACACTGCAGCACAACAACTTCACAGAGAAACGAAGAAAATTACTTGATGTCCACCCTAAAGAAGAACAGCTACACACGAAACGTTATCAGGAGATGCCTATCCCGGAAGTCATCAACTGCAAAATCATCGACAAAAATCAACAAACGCATCATCCTACCATACATAAAGAATATATCAGAAATCACGACAAGATTACTGAAACCACTTGGAAGTGGTGTGGCTCATAAACCAACGAATTTCCTCCAATCATGAATATGCAGACCAAAGGATACAACAATCAAAGAAGACAAACCGAATATCATTTACAAAATCAACTGGAATAACTGTAGTCAGTCAACACTACAGTGGACATGAACATGAACATCAGTTGGCCATTAAACATCACAACATTTCATCACTCATTTCAATGCACGTGGATAACAACTATGGACATGAATCCAATTTTGATAATGTTAAAAAAAAATCTTGGACAGAGAAAACACAAAGAATATCAGAAAATTCCTAGAAGCTTGGCATTCAGGTTAGTCAGTCAGCAATCAATAGATGTATAGACATAGACCCAATCTACCAACCAATAAGGAAGATAAACGATAGAAAGGTGAGAGGTCACGCAGAGGAACAGCCAACGGGAAAATCTCTACAGTCAATGATACAACAATCAAAGAAAACAACCAATCACAAAGCAGTTCATCAGGGCAAGCTACTAAATCACTCATAGAGAGATATTAACAACCCACTTCATACTGCGGTTAGTGTTGATGATGTCGTCTAGAAAGACAAAAACTCCACGACTAAACAATACAGCTTAGTGAAGACAATAATAACCAAAATCATTCACCTGAGCTACACAATTCTCTATCATTTAAAAAGCTCACAACATATATGCATGACTTAGCAGGTAGATGATTAAACAATGATAAAACAGTCCAATGTGGTTTGACATCAGTTTCATATAGATAAATATTATCTTACACAGATAAATAAAATCTAAGAGATGTTGAAAGATACACGAAGATATCGCTTCTCTTGAACTTCTAAATAGTCATAATAAATCGTAAGGAATAATTACTATTGATTTTGCATATGTAGGTTACCTAGGCAAGAAGTTTTTCTGCTACATGACGTTCTATAAATGTTGGTGGTTTATTGACAAGTTTTTCAGTTGATTTATAAGATTCTATATGATTCGGGTTAAAATCTTTTTCTGGTTTCCTACGATCCATCCTTTTTTCACGTAGATCTAAACAATCATTTTCTATCTTAAGACTTTTCTCCTTTGAACTAATATCATCATTGATACGATTCAATTGTTTATGTAATGCATCTAATGCATGTCTAAAAAAGAGAAAAATGAAAGAAAAATAGTGATTAAATTTTTATTTATCATATTTATTACACTTTAAAATGATTCATTTTAAATTTTTCAATGTAAAGATATTGACCAAGAAGAGGTTTATTGTAAAAGACAGTGTCAATCTCTCCTCTTATTGTTTATTGAAAGTGAAACTTTACATTTATTGTTTTAAAATAAAAAAAGTAACTTTCATTAGGTTCCAAGTTGTGTACATCTACATGAACTTTATACAGCAGTGATTCACTAATGAAATCAAACTTTTCTAACAAATAGACACTGCGCACCCACGACCCCATCAGCAGGGGTCGAACCCGCGACCTTCAGGTTCCGCGACCAGCGTGTTACCATTGAGCCACTGGGTCAGAATCCAATGCTCCATATTTCCAACTTCTGTTAGCTCACGATATAGCGCAGACCGCCACCCAATGTCATCGTTGAGTATTTGTCCTCACGACCATCAGGCTTTGACTCCAACGGTCACGACTTATCATTGGAACTTCGGGAATACTTCTTGAAGCTAGTCACCAACGAGCACTAGTTCAATTAAATTTTGAGGGGTTGTGGAGATTTGGAATTATTTCAAGTTGTTATTCAGCGAAGACTGACATCAGTTGGAGGAACAAAGGAAACCTGGGAGCACTGGACAGCTATTTCGTCCTAGTATGGGACTCCTCAGCAGTGCGCACCCACGAACCCACCAGGGATCGAACCTGCGACCTTCAGGTCCCATACTAGGACGAAACAGCTGTCCAGTGCTCCCAGGTTTCCTTTGTTCCTCCAACTGATGTCAGTCTTCGATGAATAACAACTTGAAATAATTCCAAATCTCCACAATCCCTCAAAATTTAAATAGACACTGGTTAGAAAAAGAGTCACTAGCCAATACGAATTCTTGCCTCCTATTCTTTTCATATATTCTAACACCTCTTTCAGTCTATAAATGACGCAACTTAAGTTGTGACGACATCAGTAGCAGTAAAATGTGAGGACTGTGGTAGATTGTAATTCCATTTCAGTCTGATTATTAGATGTGTCACATAGTGAAGCAACAGTATCACCTATTGGATAACATTTCCGATATCATTTATTGTCCATATTCATATCAGATAACTAAATCTACACCGATGAAACACAGTTTATATAGTCCTCATTTCCTCTTCTTCTTTGTAATGATAAAGGTAGTAGAATTTTCCATATATCTGGGATAAGGGAAGAATCATTTCTATTACTGCATGTATTTCGTATGAGTTGATTCGATGACCAGAGATTCAGTTATCAATCTCTTCCTCCACCCAACTAAGTTGGTTTTCAACACTGTCACTCAATCCTACCCTACTGTATTATTATTATTTTATTATTAGTCCCTTGGGTTCCTAGTGGAACATAGGGCTTCAGTAGCAAGTCTCCAGTGACCTCTGTTCTCTGAGATCTTTGAACCTGGCTCCACGACAGCCCAGACGCTCTCATTTCTTCCTCACACGACCTCCTCCATGTCACCCTCGGACGTCCAACTCATCGCTTTTCATTGGGATTCCACTCGAGGGCCTGACGCATGATGTCCACCCTACTGTATGATTGTGTGTAATTTCGTGCAGACCTATAGACTAGCTTTTCTCTGAAATTCTTGTTGTATTAGGATCTACTAATCTTGATTTAGCTAAGTTTTTATGCTCTGTTGTTTTAATCGACTCAAAATCTCGACTTACCATCTGTTATAATTTAGAGCATAGATAAGTTGACATACACTTAGGTGATAATGAAAAAATGCTTAGCTTTGACATAGCTAGGTATTACACAAATTTACCAATCGACATGGTTCTAGAGGCAGCTAGAAATGGGCTTAAGTATGACAATGAGCTTGTGCATCGAACCAAGGTCCTGATCGAGGAAGTCGTGCTACGAGTGAGATTGTGCCTAACATCTACTGTTTTCAAGTTTCAAAATTAAATATATAAACAAACTGATGGTGTTGCCATGGCATCACCAATATCCCAAATCGTCACAGACATATTTATGGATAGTTGGGAACAGGTAGCCATTCAAACATTTGGCCCTACTCTATAGATATACTTACTACATATAGATGATACGTTTACAGTACTGAAATCGAAACACATCAATAGGTTCTTGGCACATACAAATTCAGTAGGGAATGCAATCCAATTTACCTGTGACTTCGAAAGTGAATAAGGTGAGCTAGCAATGTTGGATTGCAAGAATAAACGAACAGAGGACGGAAGTTTAGAAGCTAATCTCATCTATAGAAAACCTTCCATTCGAATTGCTACTTAGACTTCAAATCCTCTCATCCCACTTCAGTTAAAGTAAGCTTAGTTAAATGCCTAAATGATAGGGCGAAATAGCTGAGTAGTAGACCAGAAAATCTAGGATAAGAAATTCGAAACATCAAGAATATCTTACATCTCAATAATTACCCACCTAAATTCATAATAAATCGAAAGAAAAATATTAGCAGTGGTGGTAGTAGTAGTAATACAGGTGTTAATCATAACAATTCAGAAAAGGTTCTCTTTTGGTTTAATATATTAGACTGTGGTACGGCATGGATGTACTTTCTATTGTAGTCAGTTTATTAGAAATATCACACAGTGAAGCAGGAACAGTATCATTTACTGGATAACGTTTCGGACATAATTTGTTGTCCATATTCATATCAGGCAACTAACTCCACAACTTCGAGACAGAGTTTATATATAGGATGATGCAATTAGAGAGAATAATTTAGTTTACTAAATCCTTTACAATGATTGTGAGGTCAAATATGTAGGTCAAAATAGTCGACGAGGGTCGATTAGAATAACAGAGCATAGAAACTTAGCTAAATCAAGATTAGTAGATCCTAATACAACAAGAATTTCAGAGAAAAGCTAGTCTATAGGTCTGCACGAAATTACACACAATCATACAGTAGGGTGGACATCATGCGTCAGGCCCTCGAGTGGAATCCCAATGAAAAGCGATGAGTTGGACGTCCGAGGGTGACATGGAGGAGGTCGTGTGAGGAAGAAATGAGAGCGTCTGGGCTGTCGTGGAGCCAGGTTCAAAAGATCTCAGAGAACAGAGGTCACTGGAGACTTGCTACTGAAGCCCTATGTTCCACTAGGAACCCAAGGGACTAATAATAAAATAATAATAATACAGTAGGGTAGGATTGAGTGACAGTGTTGAAAACCAACTTAGTTGGGTGGAGGAAGAGATTGATAACTGAATCTCTGGTCATCGAATCAACTCATACGAAATACATGCAGTAATAGAAATGATTCTTCCCTTATCCCAGATATATGGAAAATTCTACTACCTTTATCATTACAAAGAAGAAGAGGAAATGAGGACTATATAAACTGTGTTTCATCGGTGTAGATTTAGTTATCTGATATGAATATGGACAATAAATGATATCGGAAACGTTATCCAGTAGGTGTTACTGTTCTTTCACTGTGTGACACTTCTTATAAAGAGACTAAAATGGAATGCTGGCTTATCATTTTACCACTTCTTTACTGGAGGAATTAAACATGTCAAATATATGTCATCTTTGTGGGTTACGGTTATGGGGGTTTACGAGTAGCTTATGTGACTTAAGTATACTAATGCTTAAAGGCTTAAGGCATTCAAAAGTATCAGCACAGATTGGTTTGCTAAATGACACTGGTAAGTTGATGGAACAGTCCTCTTTTGTCTTTTCAGTTTTATTTCAACCGTTGCTATTTACTTTACAGTTATTAGATACATTAACGGATCTGGGGAAAAAAATGACTAAGGATGGTAAAAATTAACTTTGGAATCATTCCTTGAAATGTCTGTCATTTAAAGACATATAAGGAGATTTAAAAAACTGCTAAGGTTATGACCAATGTTATAATCTAAATCGACAGATGAAGAAACTAGATGATATAGTTTACATTTGATTGCGGTGGACTAGGATACTGTAATTAGAAGACGTAGATTATCTGAAAAATGTGATGTATTAGCGCTATACATTTCGAACAATCTGATTACACATTTACTTGTTAAGGCATTATATATGAAAACTGGAAGTGGGGGAAGGACACATATGACATAAAGGAATTCAGTGATGAGAAAGATAATGAGAAGAATAAAAGATAAGACTTGAAGACAATCTTGGTAATACGATTGAGAGCTTGACCAGCCATCTCATCAATAAAGTTACTCTCTATAAAAGATATGTTGATGATATAATCGTGATATGTGATAAGCATGAAGATGCGACATGTTTGTTAGAAAGACTTAACAACGTACAAAACAACATAAGCCTTACACGTGAAGAAGAAAAAGAAAACCGTCTGCCATTCCTGGACATACTCCTAAGTCGTAGAAATGATGGTTCAATAAAACGGTCGATCTACAGGAAATCTACTTGGATAGGTCAGTATTAAAGTTTTCATAGCTTTTGTTCAACCCAATACAAGGGAGGCTTGGTAACTTGTCTATTTAAAAGGATCCAGCGTATTTGTACGGAGGACTCGATGGATGATGATGTGTGATCAGATTGTTCGAAATTTATAGCGCTAATACATCACATTTTTCAGATAATCTACGTCTCCTAATTACATTATCCAAGGACTAGGATACATTTACAGCCTATCTTCAAACTGAACTGCATATTATATTTTTTTGTCCGATTTACTCCGGTTTCTCCTCTTCTTATAACACTCTTTTTACATCTTTCCACCGTGTTATTTGCATTCCGCTGTGTTTCTCCTTGCTGTCTTCTATTTTCATATGCTGAAGTGAAGTGTAACATTTAGGCATGTGTTTACACTAACATCTCTTCATATGTGTGGTTATTCACTTTTCACTTATTTCTTCTGATTGTATTACTTAATGCAACCTTAGGTAATCTTCTAGTCACTTCTACCCTTTTATACGGCTATGAGACATAGTTGTTCAAGGTAAAAGATATGAACCAGTGACGGGGTTTTTGATCAAGGATGTTTTTGTAACAAAAGAGGACTCAGGATAGCCAATCGATCAAGTGCCATTAAAGTGTACCATTAAAGTGCAAAGTACTTTTGTAAGGTTGGCGAGAGCTTGTACCTGCGCTCACCCTTACAGGTGAGCCAATGAAAGTAGTCGTAAAGTTCGTGTATCTGGGTATTTGTATGAGTGCTGTTGGAGGTGTGAGTGGGGAAATTTCCAATCGCATATCCAAAGCCAGAGTGGCATCCGTCAATCTGGGCCACCTTTGGCGCCGTGGCAAAGTTAGTCTGACTGTAAAAGATCGGGTTTATAAGGCCTCGGTGGGACCAGTTCCGCTTTACGCCTGTGAAACCTGACCTCTCCGAGCTGAGAATAGGCGACGGATCTGTGTGTTCGACCATCGTTGTCTTCGCAGGGCTGGTTGTATCCGGTGGCAACACAATGTAAGTAATCCTGAGATATGACAGCCTGTTTGGGTATGATGGAGAGCGTCAGTTGATAATTTAAGTCGTTTAGAAATACCAACATCGGTGGCTTGGACGTGTAACATATGTCGTCCCAACGGCTTCCAGATCGTTCATTGTTTGCTAACCCTTGGACTGGATGGATGGGAGAAGTGGAAAGGTGGTCAGTGTCTGACATCCAGGGATTAAAGCATATTGTTGTAACTTTCTATCTTCTACTGCTGAAAAGTAATGAATGTTTTCTTTTGAATGTATCTTAGTGGACTGCCTTCCTACTAATTCCATGCTTATTGTGTTTTATTTTTATCCACCTCCCTTATTTTTAATGTCTTCATAATGTTGTTATATCATTTCGTCTAGCTCATTTCGCGTTGCCCTTGCTGTATCATGTTTGTATTCTAACAATAATAAATAATACTTATTAGGGTGATGTTTTTGAAGTGAAGAAAGGAGAAAGACAGTGTTGCCGCCTACTGTCACCGATCATCTTTCTGACTGTGGCCGACTGGACTGAACTGGATCATGCAACAAATTGTGAGGAGCTGTGAAAAGATGGGGATACTCTGGCTGGACCGATTAAAAGACCCTAGAAGATTTGAATTTCGTCGATGATCATTTAAGTGTGATGTCTTCTAGCACAAACTCGAAGATCTACAGACGAAAACTAACAAGTTGGCGGAAGAGACGAGACAGGGCAGAAAAGGAAGACAGGATTTTCTTCAGGTGAACGCAGAGAAGACAGGTGTGATGATTATACCCAACTAATAACAACAATAACAACTACAAGCACCAATCACAATCAACGGGAGAAATCTTAAAGAAGTTGTTTCACTCACCTACCTAGGCAGCATTATTTCAACTACAGGCACCACAGATGAGGACGTCAAAGCCAGGTGCAGAAACACAGTAAGACAAGCCTTCATTAACCTGAAATCAGTGTGGATATCTACTGCATTGCAGTACACTCAGCATAAAGAATAAGATCCGGATTTTTGACACTAAGTTTGTTAAATTGGTGCCTCTATGTGATAGTTCAGTGACTTGGCGCATTATAAAAAGCACTTCCAAAAAACCGCAGATATACATGAATAGCTGTCGCCTACGCTCATTCAAAACTGAAGACAGATCAGATGACCAGAATAATAAACATAAGCAACAAGGAACTCTAGCCTGGCAACCAACCAAACAACCTATCCCCCAACAAATATGCAGAAGGAAGTGGAAGTGAAGATGGATTGGATTGGGCATACGCTGAGAATACCATTCAGGGACATCACGCGCCACATCAGGCACTCGAGTGGAACCCAGATGAGAAACGATGAGTTGGGCGTTTGAGGCGAGGGTGACATGGAGGAGATGGTGTGAGGGAGAAATGAGAGCTTGTGGTCTGTCGTGCAACCAGGTTCAAAAGACAGCAGAGAATAGAGTGCGCTGAAGATGTGCTACTGAAACCCTACGTTCCACTAGGGACCGAAAGGCCAAATGATAATAATGATGGGTGGAAGGAGAGATTGATAATTGAATCTTCGTCGATTAAAATAACGTCGAATACATTCAATAAGTAATGACTCCGCACATGTTTCAAATGTATAAAAAATCCTACTAACTATATCACACTGAAGGAGGGAAAGATAGAATTATATCTATAATGTTTCTAGTTGTGAAGTAATCATGATATTTCACATAATTGGTTGCTTTAAAAATTTTAGAAAAGCTAGAACAACCAATTTTATAGATTACGATAAATTCATTGTATTTCATTGCCTTCTTTTCAACAGAAAAGAAAATGGTTACTCTAAGTGATTTATAAATAAAGTGAAAATGAGAACAATATAAACAAGTTTACTCCATAATCCCCAGAAGAGACTTATGTTCCTTCATTTAATTTTTCAAAAGGGATGAACACAGTTAACTGAACAACAAGAACTACACTAAAAATCATTTTTCCAGCAGTTAACTTAGTTTCTGTATAGAAAACAAAGTGTTCAGTACGAAAATTGAAAGCCAACAGGTTTCCACATCATGTAAGTTGTTTGCTATACAATTCATCAAAATGTTTTAGAACATCAAGGGATACATCTTTCAGCTAATACTACTGTCATACAACTGTACAGCATTTAAAATATATTTTAAAGATTTTCTATTCATCTACTTTAAGTGATTCACTTGTTTCTTATACAATTAAAGAAAGAGGTAATAGTGGGTGTTTAACGCTGAAATTCGATTGATAGAGAAATAGCCACGTAAAGAAGTTAGAAACGAGAATTGCACAACAGACTATATCTACCAATTCACATGTACATATCAGAGCACTTACATTGAAAAGAGGACACAGAGAAAGGCTGAGACTAGATTTCTTGAACATATTCCAAATAAGTTAAGCTTTAAAGAGTCAAAGGGTGTTAAAAGTTCCATTACTAAACGTCTGGTGGGCTCAGAACATGACATCTAGATCTTGAGGTTATTTATAATGATTAACAAACAAAAAAAATGCTATTTTACTAAGATTTATAGAAGTAGTTATCATCAGAATAATTAAACAGAACTTATCCATCCAAAAACAGGAAGTTGTTAACTTCTAACTTCCATGGTAGCTATTGATTTTTCTCGTCATTCATTACATACAGTAAAACTGTGTATTTTCATCCCCTTTTAAAACGAATTACATAATCTATTCCTGTTGCATCTCCAAGAGTTTACTATGTGGACTAGATAACACCATAACTTTCGTAATTTCTTTTCAATACCAATACCCACGAGGTTTAGTAAAATGCTTATTCAAAAGAACCCAAAACATCTGCATAACAGATACATTGAAAGAAGAATTCAGATTTTTAACTGAGACACTCATGGAAAAAGCATATCCTCTGAAGTTCCTAAGCCGTTGTAAAAACGTCTCAGTAGTAAGAACTATTCAGTATTCTGTCCCGAAGAAGGATATTTACATCATGCTACCTGTATAAGGAGGAATCAAACAGTATGATCTTAAGATGAAGATTTAATTCAGTTATTAAAAAGACATACTACGCAGACAAGCTCAGTATAATCGAGAAAAAGAAACTTAGGCTCCGAAATAAACCTTATCACTCTATACATGATTACGTCAAATCCCTCTGTGTATACCATTTTACATGCGTGTGCGATGACAAGTAGATTGGGAGGAGTAATTGAACTATGAAGTCAAGAGTGATGGGGGATATCCCTAAATGATTAGAAAAACAATTACATCAAAATAATCCGATAAATACAGGAGACGGGAAGGAGCAGACAGACGTCATCGTCGATAAGCAAACACATTACAGAAACACGTCACAGGATTGACCCCAAAACAACCCTTAGATCATTTTATAGTGGACGTCAAGACCGTATATTTAGGCTGATTGAAGCCTTAGCTATACGAAAGTTCAAATCCCCTTTATGTATTGAAAAATAGTTTGTCCTTACCTTAAACCAACCTTGGTAATCTTTATCTCATTTTGATGCCAAAAGAGGTGTGAAAAATGTCTCGCTATTCCTCCTCATTATCCCTACATCTTCTAAATCTTGTATTATCTTAATTTATTTATTTAACCCCACCTCATTTCCAACCTTTAGGATAGGAAAAGCAACACAGACCTTCATCAACCCTGAAACAAGTGTGGAGATCTTCTGCAACGCACTCACCATATAGCGTGAACATGATCCGGATTTTCAACACCAATCTAGTCAAGTCAGTGCTCCTATATAGTTCATAGACTTGGCGTGTCACGGAAGGCGTTTCCAACAAATTCCACACATTCATCAACGACTGTCTACGCCGACTCGTTACTGAGGGTCAGATGAGAACACCAGAAAGAATAAGCAACAGGGAACTCTGACTAGATGACCTGGCAACGAACCAACCAACAACCTATCACCCAACAAATATGCAGAAGGAAGTGGGGGTGGAGATGGATTGGATTGGATTGGGCATACATTGAGAATACCATTCGAAGACATCACGCGCCACATCAGGTACTCGAGTGGAACCCAGATGGGAAATGATGAGTTGGGCGTTGGAGGCGAGGGTGACATGGAGGAGATGGTGTGAGAGAGAAATGAGAGGTTGTGGTCAGTCGTGGAGCCAGGTTGAAAAGATTTTAGAGGACAGGTTGGAATGTAGATGTGCTACTGAAGCCGTATGTTGCACTGGGAACCCAAGGGACAAATAATAATGATAATATTTCCATCCTTTATATAAAATGCCTTGACGAGTTAATGTGTGATCAGATTGTTCGAAATGTATTGAGCAAATACACATCATATTTCCCAGATAACTTCCATCTTCTCATTACACTCTGTAAAGTGGAACTATAACCTACCACAGTGCCCAAGTTTTACTTCTATAATACCTTCTTGGTCTTTATGAAAAATTATTCGTAAATCAGATGAAAAGAATGGGAAGAATTATTCGTATGCATTACAATATTCAATCTCACATCTTGATAGAGTAAATAGACTGTTTACCTTGCTTGACGTTGTTTTTCCAGTAAGGCTTCATTAGTCACTTCAATTTGTTTCACTTCATCTGTCAAACCGTATTGAACAGCATCACGGCATAATTCAACACCTGGACGATAGGTACGTCTTTCAAGTCGCGTTTGTGCAAGTTTCCCTGCTGGTATCATTTCACGAATAGTCTTCTCAAGTTTATCTAAATCATTCTCCATTTCAGCCATTTCATCTTCCGTCTTCACATTTTTTATTTGCACAAAGAAAGAAAAGAAACAAAACTATCAGAGATTGATGAAATATGAATTAGGAGGAAAACGACCAGACTATAACGTGACTGGTATTTCTTGTCCCTCAATTTACAAAGTTGACTAATTGAGAGACTGACTTTCAGGGGTTTATAGGGATTTCGAGATTTTTTTTCTTTAAGTTGGTATTCATCATGGACTGATATCGGTTGGAGGAACATTGGACATCCGTTTCATCTTAGTATGGGACTCCTCAGCAGTGCACACCTTCAACTCCGCCAAGGATCGAACCCGCAACCTTCACGTTCCGTAGCCAGCATATTATCATTGGGAGATTGGGTCGGTACCCAATGGTATATATTTCCTACTTCTGTCAGTTCACGATATAGCGTGGCCGTTTATATGTATCTCAGACATGCATTTACAGAAATTTCAAGATGAAAGAAAACTACTCTTCAACCTCATGAAACTGAAGACAGAAAAATAGTCTATGTCAGAGGAATACTACTACTAGCCTGTGATATGTATAGTAGTATTCAAACAACCGGTGACAAATTATCACGTGATTAAAACTAACTGATATAATGTCTCATAGACTGTGCAACCTCGCCTGGTTAACTAGTTCACTAGTTACTAGCCGGTCCTAAGCCCGGGTAAAGAGGGAAGGTTGGGCATATGGCTAGCAACCCTACCCCGTAAAACCAATTCAACCGCTGAAGAAACTTCAAAGCACAGACAAAATATAAAACATAAAAACAAACTTATTCCTTGCTGGAATCGGAGAGGCGAAATGACACCAGTTGGTGAAAGCCTGACTTTGGGAAGCCAATTGGCCAGTGTATAATCTTTCGATGAAAGCGAAAGTAAACATGGGGACATAAAATGTTTGCACTATGTTTGAACCTAGCAAGTATGCAAAGATTGCAAAGGAGATGGAGAGGTATCACATTGAAGTGCTTGGAATTTGCGAAAGGAGGTGGAATGGGAGTGGACTCTCCAAACTGTCAACTGCAGAGGAGTCAATAATCTACTCCGATATTGTAACCCAGACGACAACCACGAGCACACTGAGTTCTGGAGTGGCTATCATGATGTTCCCAACAGCATCGAAGGCCCTCATGCAATGGGAACCAATCTCCTCCAGAATCAGATCATGACAGCAAGGTTCGACTGAAAAGGAAGGAAGGTCACAATCATACAATGCTACGCTACCCACCTACAAATAATGCAGAGCAAGAGAAAAAGGACGAGTTCTACAGACAACTACAATCAACACTGGACAAGACACCACTCCAGTTGGCGATATCAAAATTCTAATGGGTGGGGTGACATGAATGCCAAACTGGGAGGGGTTAACAGAGGAAGAGAACTAACCATGGGTGGAGAAGCTCTCGGTGAGGTGATGAACGAGAATGGAGAATTGTTTGCAGAATTCTGTGCACTCAACGATTTGGTGATTGGAGTGAGGCAGTGTGTTCAAGCACAAGGATGTCTACGAAGCGACATGGGTTTCACCAGGACATACTAAAATTTAGATCGACTTTATCTCAATGTGAAGAAAGTGGAGACGCAGCCTACTGAACACAAGATCAAGAAGAGGAGCAGATGTAGGTTCAGACCACTATCTAGTGCAAGCAACAGTGTTAGGAAGGAAGAAGAAGCAAGAAAAGACAAGGAATGAATCTCAATGGATACATGGGAGCTGATAGAGGAGAGGAGGATGGTGAAGCAGAAGATAAACCAGTGCATGGATGAACGACAGGAAGAGGAACTGAGTACAACGTATAAACACTACACTGGACAAAGTAGTGAAGAAGAGTGCACGGAAAGACAAAAGACACTTCTACGACACATTGGCAAGCGAGGCAGAACAGGCTGAAGGCTGCAGGTAGGAGAGGCCTGACAACATCGTATCAAACAATTAGGTTACCATCTTGGAGGAGATCAACACAGATGAAACCAATAAAAGATGATGAAGGAAATTTAGTTACGAAAGAAGAGAAACAAGGGCCGACCACTTCAAAAGGCTCTTGAGTCGACCACCACCTGCACTTCGTCCAGAAATACCACCTGCAGCCACAGAACTACCAGTGAACACAAATCCTCCAACAAAAGTCAAACTCCTGTACGCCATAAGGCTACTGAAATCCGGGAAGCAGTAGGCCCAGATGGGATCAAGCCAGAAGCACTGAGAACAGACGCAGAGACAACAGCGGACATGCTCACACCACACCACTATTGTAGAAGCTGTGGAAGGAAGGGAAGGTGCCTGGCCATTGATTGGAAGAAGGGCTACCTTGTCAAACCCCCAAAGAAGGACGACCCAAGCCTTTGAAGAACTGGCGCGAAATCATGCTCCTGTTCACCCCAAGCAAAGTATGAGGCCGCATCATCCTGGACAGACTAAAGGATGCACTGGATTCAAAGCTACAACCGGAAGGTTCTGGCTGGCTTCAGGAAGTACAAATCATGTGCAGACCAAATTCGAACGCTACACTGCGCATCATCATAGAACAGAGTACAGAATGGCAGTCAACTCAACTACCTCAACTTCATCGACTATGAGAAGACCTTCGACAGAGTTGATCGAGAAGTAATTTGGCAGTTGCTTCAACACTACGGAATACCACAAACATTTATCAATCTCCTTCAACAACTATATGAAGACGCCACATGCCAACCACTTCACAATGGAAGGCTCAGTGATGTCTTTGAAGTGACCACAGACAGGAGTAAAACAAAGCTGCCTACTATCACCCATGATATTCCTGAATGTCGTCGACTGGATCATGCAAGAGACACTGAGAAGCTGCGAGAAGAAGGGGATACACTGGACTGCGGAAAAGATCCTAGAAGACTTGGATTTCGCCAACGATGACTTGTATCTAATGTCACACAAACTCGAAGATCTACAGGCGAAAACTAACACCTGACAGAAGAGGCAACGAAGACGAGACTTCAGGTGAACGTGGAGAAGACAGAGATTATAGTGATACCCAACCAACAACAACAACAACAACAAGCTCCAATCACCATCAATGGGAGAAACTTAAAGGAAGTAGTCTCTTTCACCTATCTAGTCAAGGCAGCACTGTTTCAACTACAGGTGGCAAGGTACATACGACGACGTCAAAGCCAGGATCGGAAAAGCAGCACAGGCTTTCATCAACCTGAAACAAGTGTGGAGATCTTCTGCAACGCACTCACCATATAGCGTGAACATGATCCGGATTTTCAACACCAATCTAGTCAAGTCAGTGCTCCTATATAGTTCATAGACTTGGCGTGTCACGGAAGGCGTTTCCAACAAATTCCATACATTCATCAACAACTGTCTACGCCGACTCGTTACTGAAGATCAGATGAGAACGCCAGAAAGAATAAGCAACAGGGAACTCTGACTAGATGACCTGGTGACGAACCAACCAACAACCTATCACCCAACAAATATGCAGAAGGAAGTGGGGGTGGAGATGGATTGGATTGGATTGGGCATACACTGAGAATACCATTCGAGGACATCACGCGCCACATCAGGCACTCGAGTGGAACCCAGATGGGAAACGATGAGTTGGGCGTTGGAGGGGAGGGTGACATGGAGGAGATGGTGTGAGGGAGAAATGAGAGGTTGTGGTCAGTCGCGGAGCCAGGTTGAAAAGATTTCAGAGAACAGGTTGGAATGGAGATGTGCTACTGAAGCCGTATGTTCCATTGGGAAGTCAAGGGTCAAAAAATAATAAACTGCACAGAATGCTTCAGAAATCTATTCTTCAACGCCAAAAAACTAGTTTAGCTATCATTTTAGAGGATATAACGATATTGTAGGGATCTAAATGTATCTTGATAGCTGGTTAAAAGTTGTGCATACGCTCACATAAATGCCTAACCGTAGGAATAAACCACAAGCATTAAAGTTGGTGTGCATGAAATTATACTTAACCACATGTAGATGACAGTATTAGGTAAGGGATGGAATAAAATGTTTAAGGGAATGCAGTGTTAGTAGTATTTACAAATGAATATAACGTTATAACTTTTTTAACTAATTTGATATTATAGTAATGATAGATAGTGGCTAACATTTCGTCCTATTTGGGACTCGTCAGCTGGATGTACCTGCCTCCTAGTAAGTAATGTTGTTCCCATTGGGATTTGCTATTATTTGAGAGCTTAAAGCAAAGTACTAATCAATATAAAGTCATTGGATTAAATACCTCATTCACAAATTGATAGAAAACCGTTATGGGTTATTACATTCTCATGGCCCTTCAAGACTAATATACGTTTATACACTATTCACTCTACTGATATTCTATGTTCAGTGTACACTTCTGCAGTGTAATTCTCGTTTCTAACTTCTTTAGGTAGCTATTTCTCCACCAACAGAATTCCACTATTAGTACCATATTCATAAGTGTGATAAAAAAATATGCCCAAAAAAAGGGGAGGCAAGAGTTCGAGTCCATTTTAACTAGGAAAAGTAACCAAGGTAACTAGATCCTAACTTATTCCTTTTATTTTCCTATAATAGAAGAAAATATCGTACAATGTTTTGAGTAAATTGTAGTTTTCCAAATTATCCTTAAAAACAATCATTTATGAATAAATCCAGTTCAAAAGTGTGTACATTATGTAGGTTTATGTATATTTTATTCTGAAGGGCAAGTCAATCGACTGTATCTTTAAGAAGTACTAGTGGTTTAAGATTCTCTGAGAAGTTTCAAAATTGATGATAATCATTCCAGTATGTTTATTAGAAATATCACACAGTGAAACAGTAGCATTTACTCGATAACGTTTCGGACATAATTTATTGTCTATATTCATATCAGGTAACTCCACAACTTCCAGACTGTCTTTATATATATTCCTAGTTTTCTCTCCTTCTCTGTGATGACAAGGGTAGTAGAATTTTCCATATATCTGGGACAGGTGCAGCATCATTTCGATTGCCGCATGTATTTGGTGTTAATTCGATAAACAAAGATTCGGTTATATTAATGAAACATATGGTCTTCTTGTTTGAAGACTAATCAACAAAATCACACAACTTTCACAGACAGAAGGCAGATACACAAACCACCGTATATTCAATATTCGATGTCTCAAAAATCAAATCATTCCGAAATATCTACGTCTACGTGCACCTATTCCAACAGACAAAGTCAAAGTAGCTATAGAACATGTCAGTAAACTCTGTCTAAAAGAAGAAATTCATAGAATAGTCAAAAAGTTGCACAACATCAGGAATTATATTGAAGATCTTAAGTGTAAGCTGATACAAACAATTAACGAAAAAGATTATGAGCTTCTGGTGGATAATTTCAATGAAACAAGACCAGCCGCATTCAAGAAATCCAAAAATACTCAGATTAAGAAGTTCAACAAACTTATGGAAGAAAAGCATGCAGTCGACAGTAATGAAATTAACAATAGTATATCACCAATGACCGATAAGTCAAAGTGATTTAACAGTCTCTCGAGTAGAGTTCTAAGCTCAACAGAAGTGAAGGTGCTAGAGAAAGGTCTTAATTTCAATGTTGCGGTTAAGGAGTTGAAACGAGAAGATATCATTCCCAAAATAGAAATAGCGTTAAGTCCAATATATCAGACAACTGTAGATGAAGTAAGAGCACAGCGTGCTCTAACACTGAAACGACATAAGAAAGTGAAATCTAATCTACCCAAGTCAGAGAGGGAAGCTCTCAGGAACCTTCAAAATGATAACAATATATTAATTGCCAAATCGGATAAAGGCAACTCAGTAGTTGTGATGAACACATCTGACTACATCTGCAAGGTGAACGAGTATATAGAAACAGGACCATATGAGGAAATTAAGAAGTCAGTGGATACTATTATGAATAAGGTTAAGAAATCGACAGGGGATCTGATACGATGGATGAAGCCATTTCTAGGTGAGTCAAAGTGGTTTAATTTAATGCCGAAAACTAATAATCCCAGTAGAATGTATGGCATTACTAAGATTCATAAGCCAGGTTATCCCATCGGGCCTATAGTAGATTTTAGAAACACTCCGACTTACGAGTTGTCTAAATATTTAGCAATGGTGTTAGCTCCAATAAGAAATCACTCAAAGTCTCGACTTACCAACTCTTATGACTTAAAGCATAGGTTAGACGACACTGAAAAAATGGTTAGTTTTGACATAACTAGCCTTTGCACAAACATATCGATTGACATGACTCTGGAGGCAGTTCAAAATGGGCTTAAAGATGACAAAGAACTTACACAGAGAACTAAGCTGCCGATCGAGAAAATCATACTAGGAGTAAGATTGTGCCTAACGTCTACTGTTTTCAAGTTTCAAAATTAAATATATAAACAAACTGATGGTGTTGCCATGGCATCACCAATATCCCAAATCGTCACAGACATATTTATGGATAGTTGGGAACAGGTAGCCATTCAAACATTTGGCCCTACTCCATAGATATACTTACTACATATAGATGATACGTTTACAGTACTGAAATCGAAACACATCAATAGGTTCTTGGCACATACAAATTCAGTAGGGAATGCAATCCAATTCACCTGTGACTTAGAGAGTGAATAAGGTGAGCTAGCAATGTTGGATTGCAAGAATAAACGAACAGAGGACGGAAGTTTAGAAGCTAATCTCATCTATAGAAAACCTTCCATTCGAATCGCTACTTAGACTTCAAATCCTCTCATCCCACTTCAGTTAAAGTAGGCTTAGTTAAATGCCTAAATGATAGGGCGAAGTAGCTGAGTAGTAAGTAGACCAGAAAATCTAGGATAAGAAATTTGAAACACCAAGAATATCTTACATCTCAATAATTACCCACCTAAATTCATAATAAATCGAAAGAAAAATATTAGCAGTGGTGGTAGTAGTAGTAATACAGATGTTAATAATAATATTCCCACTACTAGTGGTAATAATGGCGACAGGGTTAAGAGAGAATTCAAAGCCTCTGCTGTATCACCATACAAGGAAGGCACCTCAGAAGTACTACGAAGAATTCTCAAGGGGGCTGACTGGTATTCAAGTGGCATTCAAACCAACAAACTCACTTAGAAACAAGCTTTGTAGGTTAAAAGATCCTATCGATGCAATTCAGCAAAATAATATGGTTTTCCCGGATTCCTTGCAATGATTTCTAGGTCAAGTACATAGGTCAAAGCAGTCGACCAGGGCCGATTAGAATAACAGAGCACAAAAACTTAGCTAAATCAAGATCAGTAGATCCTAATAAGATAAGAAATCTAGAAAAAAAAACTCGACTATAGCTGTCCATGCGATGACACACAATCACACAGTAGGGTGGGATAGGACGACAGTGTTGAAAACTAACTTAGTTGGGTGGAGTGGGGAGAGACTGGTAACCGAATCTTTGTTTATCGAATCAACACCAAACACATGCAATCGAAATGATGCTGCACCTGTCCCAGATATATGGAAAATTCTACTACCATTGTCATCACAGAGAAGGAGAGAAAACTAGGAATATATAAAGACAGTCTGGAAGTTGTGGAGTTACCTGATATGAATATGGACAATAAATTATGTCCGAAACGTTATCGAGTAAATGCTACTGTTTCACTGTGTGATACTTCTAATAAACATACTAAAGTAGAATTACACTCGACCACAGCGCCCAAGTTTTATACTTATATTATTGATTATAATCACTCTGTGTAGCCTGGGAAATGGCTTAATGCGGATGAAATCAATTATGTAGTCAGTTCATTCAGTATTTGACTGTTGGTTAAAGCGGTATAATACAAATGTAAACTTCTCAGTTCGGTTCCGTGTGAAAATTAAAATCGGTATTGGTACTCTAGGGAATATAATTTAGTATCTAGCTCAATGGAGAAAATGTCTCTTCACATCATCTTTATTCATAATTGTATGAATCGTGAAGTGGAGATGTAGACTGTTTGGTTGAAGTCTACAACACGACAGGAATCATTGAATAAGAAATCTTGGTGACAGCTGAAAATCGGTCAGTACATACAGGTTATACTACTTTGACATCACTAGTTTTCTATTCACTTGTTCTTTGTATACAACTTCAGCCAATGCAACTGTAAGTTAGGTTCTACGTTAACTTCGTTGTTCATTCAGTCAGTCAGTCAATCAATCAATTTTCTTCTTCTTTTATGATTTTCTGAGAGTTTTGAACTACTTTCTTGTTTATTTCTTTGTTTGTCATCTTCCTGTCTTGTATCTTGATGTGTTAGTGTAAGATACAGCAACTTGAACCACTACACAAGAATTTCAGGTCATATTTTAATACTGATTATCTACTTAAGGTCAGGTAATGTGTACTTATTGGAAAAGAATGTGATAGTCAGCAATTTTTGATTGCCTAACAAAACATCTTGGTGTAATGTATTTTTGAGATGAATGGGGATTTTTTTTAATACATTACTGTATAATGCTCATTAGTGACTTGCTTCCACATGGATATCAGGAAGCTCTAATGAGAAGCCGTTACCTGTGGGGTCAACCAGTCGGGATTGAAGTGGATGCTAACTGAAGATCTTGGGTGATAGTCGCGCTATGTTGTGAATTGACAGAAGTTGGAAATTGTGAACCACTGAAAACCGACCTAGCGGTCCTGAGCCCGATCCCTAACCAGGTCGTGGGTGCGTACTGCTGAGAAGTCCGATACTAGGACGAAACAGCTGTCCAGTGCTCCCGGATTTTCGATGGTTCCCAAAGTGATGTCAGTCTATGATGAATACTACTTCAAAATCTTGGTGGAATGTTTAATAAGTGTAACTAGACGTTTTCTCAATGTAACCTAGTATCTAAATAAATTTGAACATTTAATTTCCTAATGAATACTTTCAAATAAAAGGGAATATAATCTTTTACCTGTTTTTTTTGCCATTTCAATTCATCCAGAGCCCGTTCAAAATCATGTTTTCTCTGCCTCAATGAAAATTCTGTTGCTTGTGCTTGAGCTTCTAAATCGTTAGATACTTGACATAATGTTTGAAATATTGCTTCACGTAATCTTTGTCCAGCATGAATTTCAGCTTGAGCTCTTTGCCAGTTATATCTTGTAAATTCTTCCCATTGTTGTGGTGTAGTTGTTCTAAAATAGATTAAGTAATATTACATTTTAAGGAATGATTTTGTAACGCATTCAAAATCTTACTCATTCACCTTCCGATTTCGATTTCTAAACCACCTGATCTCTTCATTGTCAAGTTCTACCATTTGTTATATTATCATTATGACTTGTCCCTTGGGTTCCCAGTGCAACATACGGCTTCAGTAGCACATCTACATTCCAACCTGTTCTCTGAAATCTTTTCAACCTGGCTCCACGACTGACCACAACCTCTCATTTCTCTCTCACACCATCTCCTCCATGTCACCCTCGCCTCCAACGCCCAACTCATCATTTCCCATCTGGGTTCCACTCGAGTGCCTGGTGTGGCGCGTGATGTCTTCGAATGGTATTCTCAGTGTATGCCCAATCCAGTCCAATCCATCTCCACCCCCACTTTCTTCTGCATATTTGTTGGGTGATAGGTTGTTGGTTGGTTCGTCACCAGGTCATCTAGTCAGAGTTCCCTGTTGCTTATTCTTTCTGGCGTTCTCATCTGACCCTCAGTAACGAGTCGGCGTAGACAGTTGTTGATGAATGTATGTAGTTTGTTAAAATGCCTTTCGTGCCACACGCCAAGTCTGTGAGCTATATGGGAGCACTGACTTGACTAGATTGGTTTTGAAAATCCGAATCTTGTTCACACTTTATGCCGAGTGCAAAAGATCTCCACACTTGTTTCAGGTTAATGAAAGCCTGTGCTGCTTTTCCGATCCTGGCTTTGACGTCGTCGTATGTACCTTCGCCACCTGTAGTTGAAACAGTGCTGCCTTGACTAGATAGGTGAAAGAGACTACTTCCTTTAAGTTTCTCCCATTGATGGTGATTGGAGCTTGTTGTTGTTGTTGTTGTTGGTTGGGTATCACTATAATCTCTGTCTTCTCCACGTTCACCTGAAGTCTCGTCTTCGTTGCCTCTTCTGTCAGGTGTTAGTTTTCGCCTGTAGATCTTCGAGTTTGTGTGACATCAGACACAAGTCATCGTTGGCAAAATCCAAGTCTTCCAGGATCTTTTCCGCAGTCCAGCCAGTGTATCCCCCTCTTAACACAGCTCCTCACTGTTTGTTGCATGATCCAGTCGACGACAATCAGGAATATCGTGGGTGATAGTGGGCAGCCTTGTTTTACTCCTGTCTGTGATCACTTCAAAGGCATCACTGAGCCTCCCATTGTGAATTAGTTGGCATGTGGCGTCTTCATATAGTTGTTGAAGGAGATTGATAAATGTTTGTGGTATTCCGTAGTGTTGAAGGAACTGGCAAACTACTTCTCGGTTGGTTGTAAGTTATCTTTTATTATTAAATGTAAGTACATCTTGTGTACTTGCTGAGTCGTCAGCACACCTTTTCCTTTGCCTATTTTCTCTTCCAGATTCTTGTAGTCACCACCAAACTGATACTGCTTTACACTCCTTGAAACAACGTACCTACCTACCTACAGGCCAGATGAAAACGTGTAAACAGTTGGTAGTTACAGTTTTAAGACTTGTAAGCAATTTTTTTTCTAGTTTTAGAGCAGAATTTCACTTCGTTGTTTATGTTTGCAAATAAAAAAATAATGCTAAGTAAATTCTTCTCTTATAAACGCTAAAATTCTACAATAAATTTGATGGAAAACTTTGCATGTAACCTTTGATAACCTGGTACTTTTAAGAGTTACAATTGAGTATGTATCATCAGTCTGTAAACTTACATTGGTTATTCACCCATTTTCTCATCCTACTCAAATTTTTAAAAATCGTTTCAATATACTTTTATATCCTCCAGTTTTCAATTTCTAAACCAAATAGATAGGTCATTGTAGAACCCGGAAAAGAAGTGTATCAGTTTAGCTTGCTATATGCTGCTCCAATCAAACAGACAACAGAGAACTTTTCATAAAACAGTATCATTACAAGTTGTAACACTTTACAGTCGTATACAAAGAACAAGTGGATAAAAAGGATTGATATCAAAGGAGAGAGAGGAAAAAGAATTTGAAAATGAAGGTTGAGAAGACTATTCTAGCTTGATAATGTATCAAAGAATGAATACATCTTCACTACTGTGACCGATTTTCATCCATCTCATCAAGAGTCCTCTATATATGATTCCTGTCGTCTGAGGTACCTTATCCAGGTACTCTACACCTCTCTATACATCTCAGACCAACAATTAGGGATTTCAAGTACAAGTGGCATGTCTTAGTCTGACCACGCCGAGAATTCTTTCAACCTAAGCCACCTCATTACAGAAAGAGGAAATGAACGGGGGTAAAATAATATTAAAATAAATGAAATTTATATGCTAAGACAAAAATGAACTTAATGGAAGTTGCTGAGTACTCTTTCAGTGTCAGTGGCATCGACCTTTATGAAAGCAAAAATAGTATTACTCAGCGGGGCATAGGTTTCTGTATCAATCACGTTTTAAGTCTCTATGGAGTGATAATGTTAATGGTGAAAAGTACAAAGTAGCTTCTGCCTATGTAAAGGGCGGAAATGTGAAACATTCTCGTAAAACAGTCTACTCTTAACGAAAAATGAGCTAGTACCCATGTTGTTTGTCTTCTCTGAGCAAATAAGGACAGGTAAGATTAGTTTCATTGGTTGTGACTGGTTATGTGAAGGGTTCCATGAATCTACTGTCCTGAGTATGGGCTTCGAATAGACATTTACGGAGTTCCATCACTCGTATTGGTTGTGACTGTACACTATTTAATGCTCCTTAACCTGAAATTGTTTCCGAGGTTTTGTCAGTTGATGGTTCAATGGGCGGCTTTAATTTATAGATTACTAAGAGGTCAAAAACCAAATTTACTCCATTCTTGTCGGTAGTAACCACGTATTTAAAATGAGGTCATACACCTTGTTTCAATAGATACCTGAACTCAGTGAAGTTGTTTGATTACTACTGACTGAAAACTGAAAAAATCAACGTAGAGCCCCACACACCAATGCACTGGTTCAAGTTGCCGAGCCTCACGTTATTATTATTATTATTAGTCCCTTGGGTTCCGAGTGGAACATAGGGCTTCAGTAGCACGCCTCCAGTGACCTCTGTTCTCTGAGATCTTTTGAACCTGGTTCCACGACAGCCCAGAAGCTCTCATTTCCTCCTCGCATGACCTCCTCCATGTCACCCTCGGACGTCCAACTCGTCGCTTCCCATAGGGATTCCACTCGAGGGCCTGACGCGTGATGTCCTCAGTCGGCCTTCTCAGTGCATGCCCAATCCATCTCCACTTCTTCCTGCATATTTGTTGCGTGATAGGTTCTTGGTTGCTTCGTTCCCAGAGTTCCTTGTTGCTTATTTTTTCTGGCCATCTGATCTTCAGCAACGAGCGTAAGCAGTTGTTGATGAATGTCTGTAGTTTATTGGAAATACCTTTCGTGGCGCGCCAAGTCTCTGAGCCATACAAGAGCACTGACTTGACGTTGGTGTTGAAAATCCGTATCTTGTTCCGCATGCTGAGTGCAGAAGATCTCCACACTGGTTTCAGGCTAATGAACGCCTGTCTTGCTTTTCCGATTCTGACTTTGACGTCCTCGTCCGTCCCGCCTGTAGTTGAAACAGTGCTTCCTAGATAAGTGAAGGAGGTTACTTCCTTCAAGTTTCTCCCGTTGACGGTGATTGGAGTTTGTTGTTGTTGTTGATGGTGGTGGTGCGGTATCTTCATCACTTCTGTCTTCTCTATATTCACCTGAAGTCCCGTCTTAGCTGCCTCTTCTGTCAACTTGTTAGTTTTTGCCTGCAGATCTTCAAGTTTATGTGACATTAGGCACAAGTCATCGGCGAAATCCAAGTCTTCTAGGTTCTTTTCCGTCGTCCAGTGTATCCCCCTCTTCTCGCTGCCTACTGTTTGCTGCATGATCCAGTCCACCACAATAAGGAATATCATGGGGGATAGTAGGCAACCTTGTTTCACTCCTGTCTTCACTTCAAAGGCATCACTGAGCTTCCCATTGTGGATTACTTGGCATGTGGCATCTTCATATAGTTGTTGAATGAGGCGGATAAAGGTTTGCGGTACTCCGTAGTATTGAAGCAGTTTCCAAATTACTTCTCGGTCGACGCTGTCAAAGGCCTTCTCAAAGTCGATGAAGTTGAGGTATAGAGCTGATTGCCATTCTACGCTCTGTTCTATGATGATACGAAGCGTTGCAATTTGGTCAGCACATGATTTGTACTTCCTGAAGCCTGCCTGTTCCGGTCGCAGTTTTGAATCCAGTGCGTCTTTAAGCCTCTCCAGGATGATGCGGCTTAATATTTTACTTGGGGTGGACAGGAGAGTGATTCCGCGCCAGTTCTTGCAAGCACTGAGGTCTCCCTTCTTCGGCAGTTTGACAAGGTAACCCTTCTTCCAATCGTCAGGTACCTTCTCTTCCTTCCACACCTTCTGCAATAGTGGTGTGAGCATGTCCGCTGTTGTCTCTGCATCTGTTCTCAGTGCTTCTGGCGGTATTCCATCTGGTCCTGCTGCTTTCCCACCTTTCAGTAGCTTTATGGCGTTCAGGACTTCCATTTTCGTTGGGGGATTTATGTTCACTTGTAATTCAGCGGCTGCAGGTGGTATTTCTGGACGAAGTGCAGGTGGTGGTCGATTCAAGAGCTTCTTGAAGTGGTCGGCCCATCGTTTCCTCTGTTTCTCTTCTTTTGTAATTAAATTTCCTTCTTCATCTTTTATTGGTTTCATCTGTGTTGGTCTCTTCCCTGATAGCAACCTGGTTATTTGATACAATGTCGTCAGGTCTCTCTTACCTGCAGCCTGTTCTGCTTCACTTGCCAGTGTGTCGTAGAAGTGTCTTTTGTCTTTGCGTGCACTCTTCTTCACTTCTTTGTCCAGTGTTTTATACATTGTGCTCAGTTCCTCTTGTCGTTGAGCATCCTTGCACTGGTTTATCTTCTGCTTCACCATCCTCCTCTCCTCTATCAGCTTCCAGGTATCCGTCGAGATCCATTCCTTGTCTTCTTTCTTCTTCCTTCCTAATACGGCTGTGCAGGTTTCTTTCCACATAGCTTTCAAAGACTTCCAGTGTTCTTCCACACAGGTTTCTTCAGGGATGTCCCTCGACGTCTCCCATTTTGTCTTGATGGCTGCTTTGAAGATCTCCTTTGTAGTTTCATCCTTCAGTTTCCGAGTGTTGTACTTGAATTGAGGTCTATCACCAGCTTCCTTGAAGGCTTTTAACTTGATTTGGAAGGTTCCTTGCACTAGATAGTGGTCTGAACCTACATCTGCTCCTCTTCTTGACCTTGTGTTAAGTAGACTGCGTCTCCATTTTCTTGAGATTGAGATAAAGTCGATTTGATTTTTAGTGTGTCCATCTGGTGAAGTCCATGTCGCTTTGTGGATATCCTTGTGCCTGAACACACTGCCTCCAATCACCAAATCGTTGAATGCACAGAATTCTGCAAACAATTCTCCATTCTCATTCATTTCACCTAGCGCCTCTCGACCCATGGTTAGTTCTCTTCCCGTATTGTCCCCTCCCAGTTTGGCATTCATGTCGCCCATTAGAATTTTGATATCGCCAACTGACGTCTTGTCCAGTGTTGATTGAAGTTGTCTGTAGAAATCCTCCTTTTTCTCTTGCTCTGCATTATTTGTAGGTGCATAACATTGTATGATTGTGACCTTTCTTCCTTTTGAGTTGAACCTTGCTGTCATGATCCTGGAGGAGATTGGTTCCCACTGCATGAGAGCCTTCGATGCTCTTGAGGACATCATGATAGCCACTCCCTCAGTGTGCTCGTGGTTGGCGTCTGGGTGACCGGAGTAGATTATTGATTCTCCAGTTGACAGTTTGGAGAGTCCACTCCCATTCCATCTGCTTTCGCAAATCCCAAGCACTTCGATGTTATACCTTCTCATCTCCTTTGCAATCTGGGCTGCCTTACTGGGTTCAAACATCGTGCGGACATTCCATGTCCCCACGTTTACTTTCGCTTTCATCGAGAGAAGACACATCGGCCAATTGGCTTCCCGAAGGCTTTCACCAACTGGCGTCATTTCGCCTCTCCGATTCCAGCGGGGTATAAGTTTGTTTTCATTTTTTATATTTTGTTTGTGCTTTGAAGTTTCTTTAGCGGTTAGATTTGTTTTACGGGGTAGGGTTGCTAGCCCTATGCCCAACCTTCCCTCTTTACCCGGGCTTAGGACCGGCTAGTAACTAGTAAACTAGTTAACCAGGCGAGGTTCCGAGCCTCACGTTAGTAAATAAAAAACAGATGGATAGATAAGGAGTAAAATCGACGTAAATAAAGTTGGGTGAGAAAAACCAGTTTGAAGCCAGAGGTCAATGAGAATATTCAGGCTTTAGAAAACGTCAATGAACGAATACAACTGCATTACTGTGACCAATTTCCAATCATGTGACCAAGAGTCCTCAACTACTGATTCTTCTCATCTGAAAGACCCCAACCAGGAAGTCTACATCTCCTCACATGGATCATACCTACATTTAGGGATTTAATTGAGTGGTGCCACATCTTAGTGTGACTACCCTGAATTATTGTCCAACCCAATCCAACTTCCCTAGCATTGCATGTTCAGGTAGGCTGTGGTTTGGCATATACTATACAGTGCATGTTTAAGCCATCTCAGTCGACTAAGATTCAAGGCTTCGTCAACCGACTTCCGTGTCCTGCCTTGCACACTTTGTCTGACTTCAGCACTGCCCACACAGTGATTCCACCAAAAGCAAGCAATGCTATGGAGACGTCTGTGTTGAAAACCCTGTAATCACTTCGTTAACGGTCATTTCTTAGCCGTATAACAGGACGGAAAAGACTGTAGCGTGGTATACTCGTCCTTTGAAAGATAGTTGAATATCTCTTGGGGTCAACAGGTGATGCAAGTTGGAAAATTCAAAATTGACCTTCTGTATCCAAACTGAGATTTCTTCAGCAACCACTTCTTTTGGGCTAATGCAACTCCTCAAGCAAGTGAAGTCATTACCATTTCATAACCTTAAACAACATGCAGGACAAGAAGTCGGAACCAGTCAACCAACATTCTTAATGCACTTCTTTCACTATAGCCTTAGGTGACATGTACTGAAAATATACTTGTCAAATAATAATATTTCTTAAAATAAACTAAAGAATCTTACACAATGAAGAGACATGGGTTGAAATTTAATGTCTGGATTTCGAAAGCAATTCACATGCTCCAAAAAGTTGGTCCAGAGTGTTATGCATACAGTAAATCTGATATTCACCAGCAAAAGAACAATCACTTTTAATCGATTAATTAAAAGGTTTTATGGTTGCACGCTAAAAAAGTAAACTGGCAACAATGTGAACATCAAGCCAGAAAAGCAGGAAAAACACTTGATGTTCTGATTTATAGGAAATCACGCTTCAGAATCTAAAGTCAAAGTGAGATTTATAGGAAAGACATTCAGGTTGATGGTGCTTTTAATGACAGGAATTGCAATTACTCAGAAACAGTATTCCAATAAGATTTATTGCGATAAAATTAGCCAGTCATCATTAAAGCTTTGAAATGAAGTTCCAAGTTTCATCTGTTTATTCATCGATGTCTGATAGACACACCTAATCAAAAGAACTCTTATAGATTGATATGATGAAGTAAAGCCTTGCAAACAAACATACCTGTGACCTTCTCATGCCTTCTATCTACGAACACCATAACGCCTGGACTCAACCGGATAAAGGGTCATGCTGAAGCATGGTGTGCTCTTCTTTTCATAATTAGTCAGGTATCTCATGTTTCAGAGGTGAAATTTATCTGCAGTGACATATTAGGGCTGATCCAACTCTTAACGTAAGCCAGTTGGTTAGATAATTCCGTTACTTTACTGTTTATCAGTATTTAGGGAGGTGATGCAAGCCGGTTTCGGAGTATTGTCCGGCATTTCATAAACTCATACTGCTTGCCAAAAACAAGCAACACTTTGCTCGAATTGTTCAAGGACCCTTTTGTATTTCACTGTCTTTATCAAGCTAGGCTACGTCACCTTAATACTATTAGATGAAGAGACATCCTTCCAACAGCAAGCCGATCCTCCAGAAGTTGAAACTAAGTAAAGTTACATCCATCAGTGTATTATCCATAACAAAGATAACGAAGAATGGTGGCAGCGAACAACCTGTATGGATATCATGGGTTAGCTTTACACCCAACGATGGCCGTCCACAAGCCCGAATGGTTTGAGTTGTAAGTCTCGATTATTATTAGGGAGCTTCTCAAGAAATGGAGTCAAATTTTATCTTTGGATGGTCAATGTAGGTGTATGGATCTGAGAAAGGTGTCACAGAACTACAAATCTTGGACACAAAGAAAGTTATTTGATTCTCTATAATTGTCACCAGGAGACAATTTTTTTTCTCGTCACTTGAAACAGTAAATAAAACGATCCTTATGAAGAGACTGTCCTAGATTTATACGCACAAGCTAGCATTCTAGACACTTCATTCCGTTCCAAATACTCTTACTGAAAAGAAATAAATTTTATACTAATTGGGTCGCTCAATTTTGAATCATGTTTTACAACCTCAAACGATTTTTAAAATTTTATTTCGTACGTTAATGCATTTAAGTATAAAAAAGGGAATATATGTTTTTCTTAAAATGAAAATAATAATTACACCTCTGACTCACCCCTGAGGGATGCGTGTTGCATTAGGCTTGAATGAAACACCAGGACATGTAGGCGTTAACTTGTACTGTTGAATATCAATGTCCATAGCAGCATGTTTATCCTGTAGATCAAGCAAAACCTGCCCCCAGCTTCTTTTAGAAGAAGCATTTGTTCAAATGCTTCATCGACCTTCTGTTGAAGTCTTTTATTACTTTTGTCAATCAAATCTTTTTCCTACAAGTAAGAGAAAAAAGATCAAATATCTGACTTTTTTAAGCTGAGCTTCTGGTGCATCTTCAACATAATCTATTCTTTTCCGCCTGTCTCTCAGCGTTAAACATTCTGTAACACATTCTTTAGGTGTTATTATATTTCTCATCTGCTCTTCAACTGCATCTTTAGCTAGGTTGACCATAGATATTTCTAAATCTATTCGTGATTGAGCCAATTCCAAAATGTCTCTCAAGTCTTTAATTGCATCTATACGGTCTGCAAGCCTTGTGGTATTATTAAATTCGTCCCATTTGGTTCTCAGAGCAGCAGCAAGACGAAGAGAGCGTGTTTCTTGACGTATCAGTTCTGAAGCCTCTCTTTGGCGCTGAGAGTTAGCACTTATAGCGAAAGAGTTAGTGAACCAATCTGGAGGTTGAAATTTTAACGCAGGCTTGGTTAATGTCGACATTTCAAGCCCAATCAAATGTCCTCCAGATCTTACTATGACAACAGAAATTAAAACAAGAAACGACTTTTAATTTCCACTATCTATTCAACGAGGGTGTGTAAGCTAGTTCGTTTCTCTGTGATCGCTTCCAGGTCTTGTGTAACGGTTCCAGGTCTTCGGCGGATTCCGATACAGTAGATCCAGCCACTCACTTGCTACAGCTCTGGAATGCAGAACAGGTAGTTGAGTGATGGATAGTTTGCCTAAGACTGTGATGCAGTTGAGTTCTTCAGATGTCAAGTTGCCAGACAGTTGTTCGGAATGGTATTTTGAGAGAGTTATGAATGGTGAGGAGATAACCTTGGAAGACAAATGTGTATTAGGAAGACACTGAAAAGTGAACTGGTGGAGTAATCTACGTACACCAAAGTAAGACTAGGGGTGCAAAAATATCCAGGACTCCGGTGGGTGAGGTTAACTCATTGCTAGTAAAAGTATGAAAAGGACTTAAGTGGTTAGAGTAGGTAAGAATTGGTTTAGAGGTCATAGTATTGGAATGGTGTGACAGTAGTTGATTTCTTCGGTCCAGTTCATGTGCCAACTAGTTGCTCCCTAATTGCCTATCCCTTTCTTAAAATAATAAAAAGGTTAGTCGGAGACTGCCTCTGCTGTCAATGCCTTCCAGCGTTCACAGACTCAAAGGTAGACGACGTGTGAACGCACATCAACTTTTGACTTTTGTTGTCAGTCTTCCTTCGGTCTCCACGAAGATCACCACAGCGTTCATTGGGTAGTACTCCTCTGTCCAGTTGACTTAGGTTATTCAATATTTTGTAGGCTGTTGTTGAATCACCCCTAACCCTTGGCAACTAAGAGAGTATAGGCCTGGGTCCTATAGTCTCTCCTCACACGGTTTTCGATGCATTCCAACAACCTATTTTGTGACTCGCCTCTAAACTTTCTCTAGGAGCTTCACACCTCTTTTCAGGCGTCGTGGAGTGGAGGCTTTATGAACCTCCACGTAGAGCCGTATGTAGGTCTTGTAGAGTTTCAAAAAGAGCTCTGGGGTGATGGCACTTAGTCGTGGTTGCACAAAGCATGGCACACCGTATGCTTTGGAAGCATTTTCAAGGTAATTGGAAATGGTGTCCAGTTTCTCCGTCAGCAATTAGCTCAGGTCTTTCTCTGCCGTGGTACGAGAAAGATGTGAACCGCCAAGGGAGTAGGATACTTTCTGTGGATCAGTAGTGCAGAAAACATGGACCAGCATTTATCCAGGCCAAACGCCAATCCGTTATCTGCCACCTACTCCCCCAGCGTTTCGAGGTCGTTCCGTAGTGCTTTCGTTTCCGTTTTGCGCATCACAGCCCTCCGTAACTTGACGTCGTCAGCGCAGAGGAAAATCGGAGAGCTGATATGCAGCGGAAGGCAACTTATGAACAGTAGGAACAACAACGGACCCAGGATTGCTTATTGTGAGACATTGGGCGATGATGTTCTCGAGGTTGAACAGACTCTGTTGACCCAGTGCGGAACCCCCAACATTCTCAGTAGTTCTTCAGCCACGACACCACCTGGCCGCGGATATCCAACCCACCCCTTCTACTTATTACAGGGGTGTGCAAGGCCGTGCCAACGGCTTTGGTAAAATCCACAAAAATCGTCGTGCCTTGGGGGATTTTCGCGCATTTAGCTTTGGTAGCTCATCAAGAACAACAGCACGAGTTATCTGTGCTTAATTTAAGTCTCCTTCGTCTTATAATGTTAGGGTGTGCTGAGGCTGGGGGCATTCATGCTTGCGTGATGAGATCACGAGCTGCGTGTCAAGGATTGTGCTTGGCATTTCGACGATCTGTCTAGCGAGGTTTTCTCTGTTCGGATGTTCGATGGCTGATGCTCCATAGCCTGAAGATTTTCTCTCTGCTATGAATCGGTATACGTTTTTGAGTCTACCCCAAGCTTCCAAACGAGGTTGGACTAGAGTGACTCCCTACCCTTCACCCAAATTCTGATGTTACATCGATTTCGTAGTTGTATATACGTTGCGAATATCTTCTCTTATAGAAACCCATTATTTATGCTGTGCTATCCCTTCGACTTTCAGGAGCACTTGGTGCTTCGTCTTAGCCACTAGGTCCAACGTCTCGGTGTTGTTACCATCAAGGGGACATTTTAAGAAACTGCAGCCTTAATAACATCCCTCACAAGCTACAGGTGCTGGTCAATCGATGAGGAATGCCAGTCTACTGGGCATGGAACTGCCAACAGACACTAGTGCATTCCCTCATGGTTAGCCTTCCGTAACACCGATAAAGGTGAGATCCCCCATGATAACTGTTCACTGGTTGCCAGATTGAACACTACCATAGCGTGAACACTGCTTCCGAGAGAAGCTTGAACCAGGGTGTTCTGAACTAGTAGATGGTCACTAGTCAGCAGAAAATCCAGTAAAGTCATTTAGCCACCCTACCCTCAGCAGGTACCGTCGCCAATCTTCCCGTGCAGCCCAGCAATTTGGATGTTGTTTGCCGGGTTATGACCAAACTTCCGGCCAGGTCTCGTGCTATCTTACTTCAGGCTAAGAGTTGGGACATTGGAGTCCCCAGTTATCAGGGTCCGGTCATGCCCCATAGTCGACACTGTGGACATTACTCGGAGTAATTTTGGTTGTTTCACGCTGCTGTTGCAGGGCCTATAGGATCCCCAACCGAGTACTCAGTGTGTCTGACCACGAAGTGGCACCGGACTGAGCTCGGGAGCTCTGTCAATACAGTGTCAGTAGTATGTTCACTTTCGAACCGTCCGTTCACACATATTGCAACCCCATACTCCTCTCTTGTGTTCCCTGACGCTCCTGAACAAAACCATGCCCCCTAAGTCAACTTCGGTGGAACTTATGCTCGGAGACAACCATGTTTCCGTCAGGATTATAACTTTTGGAACGAGGAGGGAATACGGGGATCGGAGACGTGATATTTTACTTCGGAGTCCTTTCAAGTTGCTGTAAGGAAGCTTGGAAGCGCTTCTAGGGGCGTGAGATGTCCCGGGGTTAATTAGTAGCACAGACTTGCAAGTGGACGGAGCTTTTGATGACTGATCGGTTTCAGTGGAGCCGACACGGATACGATTTTTCCCAGGCTGATTGGTGTAGTCGGTGTTGGGTGGGGGTCGCTGGTCAGACCCTCAACGTGTCGGGATAGGGTGATGGCGGCCTGAGCACGAGGGGCAACCACTGTTTGCTGTTGTCACAGTGTTCCAGGTTTGCTTTCACGGCAGCTAACGTCCCCTCTTACGACACTCTTGACTTTGTACCACGCCTCCAGCACTGTAGCTAGAACATCTGGGGATTTGAGTTTGGCGGTCATTAGTCTAAGTGAAGCCGGATGTGCCAGGTATGACGGGGGTGGCAGCCTACAGATCACCACTCCAGCAACTCCACTTAGCCTCATCCGTGCTGGTAACCACTCCCACTGTTAAACGTCATGGGTGTGTGTTGTCCCCTGGGGTGCCAGTTTCAAGTTCATATATTTCGTGGATGACCATGATTGACTACATTCATCTTGCCAATGTTCGATTTCAGCTTTAGAAGTTTCGAATGGGTCCGATGCTTGCTGGCCAAAAGAAGGCCTCCGCTAAACTGTCTTTTGCGCCTAGGATCCGTGGACCACTAGTTCCTTTGGTGGTTGACCTCTGTACGAGTAACAGGGGAGCAGAATGTGACGCTTAAAGTGCAAAAATCCACTTGTCTCTGAGCAACCTCTTTCACATCTTAATTACATTTCAAGGTACACTGATAGCGATTTGGAAAAGGTCAATGAATGCACGTTAAAATGGGTTGCCCCAAGCTGTTGCATTTCCAGGGCTAGCGGAAGCAGTCCAGAAACCGACCGTCTTAAGATAACGTCAGCTTCCAATAAAGTCCCTGGGAGTGAAGCACTGTTACTTCCGATAAAAAAGAGATACAAGCCCCAGGCTTAACCCAGTCTGGCGACGGAAACAGTGATGAGACGTGCACACATGGAACGAAATTCTGTTCTGTTGACAACAGTGTCCAGGCCAGTGGGCTGGACCTCTATTCGTCTTTCCATATCCATCGGTCCCGAAAACTGCAGGTGACCAAAACTAAGCGGCCTGCTTAAAAAGCAACCATGGTCTTGAAGCCAATTATCATTGCCCCGTACGGAGAAGACAAAGTAGTGCCGTGTGAAAAGTCTGTAGTCTTCCAGCTGGACGAGAGAAGTATGGGCCCTGAACCTCATGACAGTTTCCATCGTGACCTTGACAAGAGGCCGGTGAGTGGTCTGTTGCTAGTAGATACACCTGAAATCAGCCTGTGCAGGACATAATTAATAGGTAAGAGAATGCAGTTCCCGCTAACATTCCGTTTCGGTTACTTAAAGCTATGTTCAAGTCAACAAAGAAGAAGGATCTCATTCCGGAGGATGCTTATAAGCTTAAAAAAATGGTGTTCGTGCTTAAGAAACGTTCTCTTGATGATGCGGTCGGAATACGAGAAGCAGAGGAAAAAGTGAAACCCAACCAGCAGTGAGAAGGGAGGTTCTGAAAGTGGTGGGCTCTCCTGAAGTAGGGCTTCGGAAGCGGATAATTTCCGGGTTTCTATAGATAAGATGAAAACACATTTAGGCGGTTTTCCCACCTTTAATTCTAACACATATGGCATTCTGGCTAGATGGAGTCCACTAGGTTATACAATCAACACATGAACCTTGAAGTGCCAGCTATCTAAGAAATCTGGCTATCTTTTGAGTCACGTGGTTGTGGAACACATTAAAAAGGATTTAATCTCTTTCGAAGCAACAGATTAGGATACAAGGGTGGGGGCAATGCCCTCCGGGGGAAGAGCAACTTGACTGAAAAAGTCCCGAAAACGGTGACAGACGAAAGGGGAGTATTTAAAGTGTTACTCTGCGGAATGAAATGCAGGGGACAAGATGTGATATAGCCTTAGTATACCCGAGTCATTAATTTGAGATGGAAGACTTCTTCCTGAATAAGTGGGC